GATGAATCTGTTCATTTTCTTAGCAGTCCATGGTGTATTCAATACTCTTCTCCAGCACCGCAGCTCAAAGGCATCAATTCTCCTTCTAATAAATATGTACAGAGAAATTTATTTCAAGGAAATGGTTTGCATAGTTGGGAGGTTGTGTGTGTTGTTATATGCCGTTGAGTCGACTATGACTCAGTACAGACCTTCTAAACAATGTTCCTGAACCTTGAGCTATCCTGAGTTGACATCTCCATCCACGACACACCTGACCCCGCTGACACTCACTGTGTCCGTCCATCTCATCCCAGGTCGTCTCCTCTGTTGTCCTTTTACCCAAACCCGCGATCTCCACATCAGGCAGCAGGCAGGGTTAAGGCTTCTGTCCCAAGAACCGGAGGTCAGAGGGTGCGACTGTAACCAGAGCTGGAGCCTCTGGGACATCAGGAGGATGGCTCAGGACAGAACCAGCCTGAGATCTGTTCATAGGGTCACTGTGAGTCCAGTCAACTCGGTGTTACCTAACAACAACGATGACATAACACATCTCCTGTAACTGATTGGCTGCTCGGATGAGGTCACAAAATGGGAAGAAAAAGGCACTGCCAGACCACCAAGGGTTACAGAAAGTAGAGACACATGTTAACCATCCCATCGGGCCAGGGCTGAAATGCGGGAATTCACGTGGCCACAGCTTTTTAGTTCCACTAAGGACACCTGTCCCACAGCTGCAGAACGTGCTGTGGACTAGGATTTCACAAGATGCTCGGAGCGTGAGATGCAGGCAGCTTCATGACGCTGTGGGCTCAGCTCCTGATGCTGGAGGGGTCACTGAGGTGAACTGTGAGGTCTATGGGCCAAGAACGGTGATGTAAACGAGTAGCTTCTACTGCGGTGGTCCCCTCCGTCTGTCGTGGGTGGAGTATGTTTCCCCAAATATCTGCTAAAGTTTTCTTCCTCCCCCTTCCCCTCCCCTCCCCCTCCTCCTCCCTGTGAATGTGACCCGCTTTGAAAACAGGGTTTTATTTCTTTGCCATTAACAGTGTCAAATATTGCGGTTGTTGTGTGCCAGTGAGTTGGAACTGACGCATAACTGACCCTCTGTCGTGTTTTCAGAGGCAGTGAGTCGCACGGGAGGAGATTACGCAGCTTTCTTGCTGGGAGCAGCTGGTGGATTCGAACTGCATGCCTTTGGGATTGCAGGGCAGCTTCTTACTATCGGGCCACCTGGCATTTACTATACTGCAGTAGGATGGGTCTTAATTCTTTCCGAATGATGCCTTAATAAGGAGGAAAACAGTGTCTCAAACACCAAGAAAAGGTAGATGCCACATAACAGCACAATGCCTCGTAATGACGCAGGTGCCACGCAATGACACAGGTATCACGCAATGACGCAGCTGCCACGTAACAATAACAACAGAAGCCAAGGACACGGCCCTAGTTCTCTTTTGCTGTGTCCTCTTGAGCAGGAATCGACTCACAGCTGACCCCCCAGTGCGCTTTCCGAGGCAGCAAATCACATTACCACTCATCTTGCTCCCACGGAGATAAGTGGTGGATTCGAACCCCGGGCCTTTGGGTTAGTGGTGCAGTTATTTGTCACTGAGCCACCGGAGCTCCCGTCTAAGTTCTTACAGCTGTACTAAAAAGCCAAGTAAGGAGATTTTGAAAAGGAGCTCCTTTTCCTGTCTTATCAGTTCAGCAGCCACATCCTCCCACTTGCTGAGATGTTTGCTGGGAGTGGCGTGCTGCAGAAAAGGAAAAAGAATCAAAGAAATAGAAACCCAAGGAGAAGGTGTGAGGGGGTGGGTAATAGTTAAATAATCTGGGCAAAACCACAGAAGAGCTGAAGGTAAAGTGGAAATCCCGCAATGGCTTCCCGTTTCCGGTGGACCTCATCAAACTGAGGGCGCACAGCCAGAGCCCATAGAAGAGAAAAAGTAAACCAGAAGGCAAAAGCGAGCCAACCTAGTTTGTATCCAGGCAGGTGGGATCCCAAGGCATCCTTAACAGCTAACAGAAGTGGGAACTTCCCACAAGGTCCTCCTCTTGGTCCAACCACCGTCCACCTGTTTTGCAGAGCAGATTATCCGAGAGGCTGGGCTCTGAGGAGAAGCATGGCGTTAGGATTGGTGGATGATCTATCAACAATCTGCGTTATGCAGATGACAC